TATATAGCATTTTCATAAAATATAAACAATATTGCTAGCTAGGTTTAACGGCTGAGTGAGTAAGTTGTGGCTAGAAAGTATAAATTCTGATCCTAGATTATGTTTTCGGTCAAAAGTTTTTATCATTCTTTGTATCCGATATTCCTAGATTTGATGCTTGTTTAGTATTGTTTGCTCCAGAAAATGCGTGATAAATCCAATCATATTTGGAGGAATCTATTCATGTCTCCAAACAAAGCGTAAAACCTAGAAGAGAAAAAAAAAGAGAGAGATGGAAGGAATTAATGGTTGAAAAAGAAAAATAGAATAAAACTCTTACTACATAATATTTAAGGAATAAAATCAGATTTTATGTTCCAAATATATGAAAAAAAAATTGAAGTTTTAACTTTTAAATGAAATTGTTTTATTTAATTAAAATTTAATTTAAAATTTATAAATTTATTTTATTAAATATTGATACTTAAATTTAAAAATTAATTATATATTATATATGTTCTAATATAATAGATTTTTAAACTTATTTATTAATATTTAATAATATTAATTTTTAAATTTAAAAATAAATTTTACTTAAATAAAACGATATCATATAAATTTGAAATACTAATTTTTTATTTTTAATCTGGGACTAATATGCATATATATATAGTTAAAAGTTCCCACAAAAAGAAGAAACTTAGTCTTGTTTTTTAAACTTACAAAGAAAGAAAATTTCTCAAAAACTTACACAAGAAAGAAAGAAAGAATGGGTGCCTTTGCATGCATCCACCAGAGAAAGAGTTAGAGAGCACAAGCAAAGCATAATTTTCTGCTTTCATGAGCTGCTTATTGTTCTAATATTCTTTTGTATTTTACCTTTAAAGAAACCTAACCATGAACACCAATACATGCAATGTTAGATTCTGATTATTATTATCCATCCGCATAACATTATTGAAGTTAAGCATCTTTTTATCATGAGTTTTTCGACGTTAAATTCCAATCTTCTCTCCTATATTATATTGTAGTATTAATATTCTTTCTAGATAGCTATATATATCAATCATACTCATATCCTCACCATACATACTCTCCTTAATCAATTATCCTAGTTGCATTTGCAACTCAGATTTGTACCTCCTCTTTATATTGGTGCTTTAGTCCAATTCTCATACACATCTTCAGCTCATCTTCTCCAATCCGGTTCTGTCCAGCATTTTTTGCCTGCCAAAATAGTTGCCCTCTTGTTGTTTTCCAGGAAAAACTAATCAGAAAAGTTCTCATTTTAACTGTTGACAATTTGGGGGACGTGCAGCAACACGGGCTAAACAAGGTTGGGAGGACTTATATTATTTCATTGGAGAATGAATGGTAAAAAGGAAGCTGTGGAGATCAACATTCCACCAGCTGAGAAGAAATCTGTCTTGGAAGGCTTCTCATGTAATACTTGGATATGGAATGTTTGGCACTTTTGCAAGGAAGATAGCAACAGAGTGACATTCTCATTCAAAATGGGACTGTCTGTTCTTCTAGTGTCTTTGCTCTCACTTCTCCGAGCACCTTATGAAGTTTTTGGCACCAATATCATTTGGTCCATCCTCACTGCTGTCATCATGTTTGAGTATACAGTCGGTATGTATATATGCGTATACATTTTTTAGTAAACATAGTTATCATGCATGCATATATAAGTGAGAAGCTGCTGACACATCTAATGTTTCTGGTTTATTGAGGTGCAACCTTTAATCGAGGATTCAACAGAGCAATTGGGACTGTGCTTGCAGGGATCTTAGCTATTGCAATTGGTCAGTTAGCTCTGCGTGCTGGACACGTTGCTGAGCCTATTGTGATAGGAATTAGCATATTCCTGATTGGTAATTCCTTCTAGTTCAAGGCAGTCGAAATTAAATGAAACAATATTTCATTCTTTCCTTAGGATTAAATTAGCTACAAATCAGGAAAACTGAAAGTTATAACTTATGCTAACAAGGAATAATTGTTAAAACAGGAGTTGTAACATCATTGATGAAACAGTGGCCTTCTTTTTTGCAATATGAATATGGCTTCCGGGTCACACTCTTCACCTTCGCTTTGCTCATTGTTTCTTGTTATCGAATGGGAAACCCAATAAGAATTGCCATGGATAGGCTCTACTCTATTGCCATTGGAGGAATGGTAGCAGTCCTCGTGAATGCACTTGTTTTTCCTATCTGGGCTGGTGAGCAAATGCATAAAGAGTTAGTTAACAACTTTAACTCAGTAGCAGACTCCCTTGAAGGTAATCTAATCTGAATGTTTGTCTCTTGACTTCTACTAAGAATTATTTACTTTTGAAAAGAATATCAAACAAGATTCATTGTGGAAATTTCAGAATGTGTAAAGAAATATTTAGAAGATGATGGATTAAACCACCCAGAGTTCTCCAAGACTGTGGAGGATGAGTTTCCAGATGAGCCTGCCTATAGGAAATGCCGAGGAACATTAAACTCTGCAGAAAAACTAGAGAACCTGGTACTTATTCTTAGTTCCTTGCATAAATTCCATCTTTTCCTCAGCTCATTTTCTAATTAATAGTACCATAATGTCTGACTGTTATTTGCTTCAATATGAAGGCTAATTCTGCAAAATGGGAGCCGCCACATGGTAGGTTCAGGCACTTCTTCTATCCATGGTCGGAGTGCGTTGAAGTTGGAGCAGTCCTACGCTACTGTGCTTATGAGGTTATGGCCCTCCATGGAGTTGTGCACTCTGAGATTCAAGTACTTTCCTCTTAACCATTTTCATTGAGAAATTTCAACACTAAATACAAATGGATCATTCATATATATTCAAGATAACAGAATTGAAACTTTTTTCTCACTCAATATTATAGAACTACTAGCAACCAAGAAATTTATCAGAAATTGCAGTAGTTGGAAAAGAATACTGAAAAGGTGAAAGGCCCAGATGGGATTGAAAAAAAACAAAATCTAATAGGTTCATTTGGTGTGCATTCCGCGTAAATAGCATACCAATCTTGACTCAGGTTGCGTGTAAAATGATTTAATTTCACTCAGTCTTTGTTATCCCATTCTATTATCTTTTGATAATACATGTAAGAGATTCCACAAAAACAATACCTGTAAAAAGAGATTCCATGACATAGGCTTAATTCTTTGGAGCTTTGTTTATTTGTTCGTTCGCTCGTGTTACAATTGCTAAAAAGTCCCTTTTTTTTTTTATATTCGTTTATAGGCACCACACAATCTCCGAATCACATTCCAGACAGAGATCCTGGATGCAACAAGCCATGCTGCAGAGCTAGTGAGGAGCTTGGGAAAAGACATAAGCAGCATGAAGAGAAGCCTCAAGACCTCCCTACTAAAGAAGGTTCACAGCTCTACAGAAAGACTCCAGCGTGCCATAGACATGCATTCCTATCTGCTTACCACCTACTGTGACAACCCTAATCCGGTCACGCGCTCTCAGACTCTGTCAACAAGCCTCCATGACCGGCTTGCAGATTTCGACACCAATAACCTTGAAAATACACTAACAGGGAATCTCCCACGTGCACAGGGAGACTCATCCCACTACTACCAGGACATGATGAGGAAGCCGTCAAGGAGGCTGCACTCTTGGCCTCCAAGAGAGGTGGGTGCTTTTGAAGAAGAAGGAGGGATTGGTGTGAACGTTTTGCCTAGGATGAGAGCACTAGAGAGCAGTGCAGCATTATCACTGGCTACCTTTACTTCATTGCTGATTGAGTTTGGGGCTAGGCTTCATCACTTGGTTGAAGCAGTTGACAAACTCTCAATAATGGCAAAGTTCAAGGATGAGGGACTATAGGGAGTCTGCAATAACATTATGGATATGTCTACGTTAAGAGTAGAGGTTACTTTTAAAAGATGTTGAGAAATTATTAATTATATCTTTTTATAATTAATTTATATAAAAAATAAAAGTTGATTTTAAATATATCAACTTCTCAATTAAAATCATTCAAGTCGTATTAATGTTAGTATTAAAAATAATATTTTATTTTTATAATTTTTATAAAAATTTATTATAAAATAATACATTTAATACATTTTAACCTGTACCTTTAAAATATAAAGTAAATAAACCTTATCATAATATATATTCAGCTATATTTCAGCTATTATTTTTGTTGGTTTTACGTGTATAATTGTTTTTATGGAAAAAAAAAACGAAAACAGTGGGAAATGGAAATCAATTTTGAATTGAACACAGAGATGTTCTTAACAAGAAAGTAAAAAATATAATTGCATAGAGAGTAATGGGTTGAAGAGTAAAGTTGTATTCAAAATTGCTTTGAACTCTATGATTGTGATTTTTTTAATATTTTAATATAAAAAATATGTTATTATTTAATAATTACTTAGAATTTTTTATATTATACAATTAATAAGTTAACACTTCTAATAAAATAGTACCGTAATGTAAGAAAGCAGAGGTTGAGAAGCATCCAACAAGCAACCTCATTATAAAAGATGAAAACAAAATTGAAATTTATGATTATATATAGGAATTTTACACCATCCCTGTCCCTGAAACACCCCAAAAGAGGCAAAATCTCCAAACATCTTTACCATCCACTTCTTCCATTAACGGCTCTCGCTTCCATTGTAGAAGATGAATGGTTAGCTTCGATCTCCACCCGAAACCTTGCTAAATCATCTCATATTTTCAACATCAGAAGGTGATTTTATGATTTATAAGCAATATTTATCTTTTCAGATTTCATTGATTCTATGGATGCGCTCCATCAAAGTATTATGCCTATCATTTTTCGTTTCAGGAAATTTATTAAATGCTAAGTTTTGTGTGGAAACCTTGAATTAGGTTCAGATCAGATATGGATTTTTGCCTATTTTGCCAGATTTTTAGCTGTAGAATAACTTCTTCTTCTTCTTCTTTTTTCTTTTTTTCTTTTTTTTTTTTTTGTAGATTTTTTAGTTTTGAGTTATGAATAGTAGTTTCATCCATCTTTTATGCCTGCAAGTTACGAATAATAGCAATTTATACCGGTATATAAATTACAAGCTCTAACTTTTTTTCTTTTTTTGATCAGCATTAGAAGCTCTAACTTATGAGATCATTGTTTAATAATTATGGTAAGTGGGAAAAATCCCACATCAAATATATATAACAAAAAAGCCTATGAAATAAATACAAAAAGAGTTACTCTACTTATTATCAATTAATTTTAAATTTGATGCAAATATTATATTTAGCATACATACACAACTAATTGATTTTAAGTTTAATACAAATCTTATATTAAATCCACATACACAATTTTTATAAATTATTTTTAGTTTGCTCATTGAGAGCCCTATTCTTTGCTGTCGATATTGTTCGTTGTCCTTACAATATCCATTGTTGTTCATGAGCTTCTTCTGTATGTTTGTTTCAGGCTTGTGGCTACTTGAAAGTTGTAAAGTCTAACATCAGTTTTTTTTTTTTTTTTTTTTTTTTTGGGGTTAAAACTCCATATTGGTCTCTCTACTTAAAAAAAAAATCTCTTTTTATCTCTTTACTTTAAAAATTTCTTTTTGGTCTCTAAAATTTGAAATCTGATCTCTTTTTAGTCCCTTAGTTCAATTTTGAACACGTGGTATGTTAGATGACTAAAATTTTAAAGTAGAGAAATCAAAAAGAGGTTATTCTTGGTTGCTTTTTAATCTCTCTATTTTGACAAAAAGTCTCCTTGTAGTCCTTTTGCTTTTAAAATACTCTTTTTTAGCCTCTCTATTTTGAGATTTATGTTAAGATAACGTGCCACAAGACAAAAAACTTAATGAAGGGACTAAAAAATGGCTGGATTTCAAAATTTAGAGACAAAAAAGGAATTTTTTAAGTAGAAAAACTAAAAAAGACATTTTGTTAAAGTAGAGGGATCAAATTGAGATTCTAACCTTTTTTTACCCCCTCCCTCTCTCTTTCTCACCCCATAATTAATACATTTTGCACATGCCTTCCGTTCTTTAAATGCACATCACCTATACCTACATCTTAACTACATTTGTTCTACTAACTATTTCCTTTTTGAAACATTTTTGAGTTATCATGGATTTCACTTGTGGCTTGAAAGCGATTGAAGTGCTTCCAAGGAAAGAGCTCCTATATTTCTTTTAGAAATTTTATTACTGTATTCTGAGCATTTTTTTGGATCTAATGTGAATTGATCCGAGAATGTGTTGGAATTTCATTATTGTATTTAATTTTATTAATTCATATTTTGTTCTCTGTATGTTAAGTGTCACATATTGTATCTTATTCTTATTAATTCATATTCTGTTTTTTGTATGTTAAGTATCACATATTGTTTCTTATTAATTCGAATTCTATGCTTTGTATTTTAAGTGTCACATATTGTATGTTATTAATTCATATTCTTCATCCTATACAATATGAATGAATTCATTATTTAAGATCGATTGTAGTTTAAAATTTTTTTCTTCAGAATTTTTTTGATATTGTATTGTCAACATATTCTTCATATTTTTTGGATAAGCATATTGATATTTAAAAGTTATAAGGAAGTGATTTTGATACATAAAGTAGAAAGTAAAAAGATACTCAAGTTCAAATTGAGAGTTAATTTAAATTAGATTTGGCAGTCTCAATTGGCACAAGTTAAAGGATGCTAATGCTACAACTTTATTATGAGACCATTATAAGTAGAATAGTTAGAAATAATTTATAAGAATTATATCGATATTAGTCTTGGATTTTTATTATAGGACCATTATAAGTTTTGTTAAAAGAAGATTAAAATCCTAATTTGCTTCTTCTATTTTGGTAAAAAAAAAAAATTTTAATCTATCTACTTAAAAAACCCCTTTTGATCCCTAACGTTTGAAATTCAACCATTTTTTAGTAATTTCGTTAAGTTTTTGTCTGTGATACATTATTTTAATGGAATTCACAAAATAGAGGGACTAAAAATATACTTTTTTTTAAGTAGAGGAACTAAAAATAGATTTTTTGCCAAAATAGATGGACCAAAAGGGGGTTATTTTTAGCTTTTTTTTATCCTTCTACCTTAAAATTTTCATTATCTAACATGTCATGTATATAAAATTTAACAAAAGGACTAAAAAGAGGTCAAATTTTAAATTTTAGGGACCAAAAAGAAGTTCTTTTAAATTGAAGAACTAAAAAAAGACTTTTTTTCAAAATAGAGGGACCAAATAATGTTTTAAATTTAACCTTAAAAGAAGTCATTGTTGGCCATTTTTTAAGCCAAGGTAATTAATTGCTCTGAATAAAAGTTTAAGGGTAAATTTTCATTTTTATAGAAGTTAAGCTATTAACTACATTTTAGCTATTTTGTTTTCTGTATGTGAATTTTCCTTTTTCTTCTAATGAGTGCAAAAATAATACTTAATTGGTTTGAATAAAAATTTAACGGTAAGTTTTATACACAAAAAAAATAAAAATAAAAATAAAATAAAGCTAAGTTTTCATTTTTATAAAGGTTAAGGGATTAAATACATTTTCACTAATTATGTTTTCTAAATGTAATTCATCTTCATTGACCATAAGCAATTGTAAAAACTTTCATTTTCTGTTGAGCACAAAATAAAAACTGATTTTTGACAACAAAATGAAATGTTTTGACTTACCCAATACATACTTTGGATTCTAATCCTTGATCAATGTAAAAAATTAAGCATATCTTATTTAAAGTTTTCTGTTGCACTTACTTCTACTCATCCTGTGCCCTCCTCTTTATCTTGCTACTTGAGCTCATCTCCTCCAACGCAGAAAATCATTGCCCTCTAATTGTTTGCCTGGAAAATCTAATAAAAAAAGTTCTGGTTTAACCGTTCACAATTCGGGTTCAAAGTGCTTGTATTAATTCATTGGAGAATGAATAGCAAAAAGGAAGCTGTGGAGATCAACATTCCAACAGATAAAGGTCTTCAAACTAAGAAGAAATCTGCCTTGGAAGGCTTCTCATGTAATACTTGGATATGGAATGTTTGGGGATTTTGCAAGGAAGACAGTAACAGAGTGATATTCTCATTCAAAGTGGGGCTGTCTGTTCTTCTAGTGTCTTTGCTCATACTTCTCCGAGCACCTTATGAAGTTTTTGGCACCACCAATATCGTTTGGTCCATCTTAACTGTTACCATCATGTTTGAGTATACAGTCGGTATGTATATGCATATATTCATACAATCTTTTAGCAGAGAAACATGTATTCATCAGTTCAACCTCAGATACATATACCATTTGATTAATATATAGGAAAGGAAACATATATTGTCATCTTTAGCATAAATAAAAATACTGACACATATAATGTTTGTGATTTTTTCAGGTGCCACCTTTAATCGAGGATTCAACCGAGCAATTGGGACATTGCTTGCAGGGATCTTAGCTATTACAGTTGGTCAGTTAGCTCTACATGTTGGACAAGCTGCTGAGCCTGTTGTTATAGGAATTAGCATATTCCTGATTGGTAATAGCTTCTAGTTCAAAGCAGTCCAAATTAAATGAAACAATATTCCTTTCTTTTGTTAGGATTAGCTGCAAATCAGGAAAACTGAATGTTCATAACTTATGCTAACAAAGGAATAATTGTTCAAACAGGAGCGTTGACATCATTCATGAAACTGTGGCCTTCGTTTGTGCCATACGAATATGGCTTCCGGGTCATACTCCTTACCTTCTGTTTGATTGTCGTCTCTGGATATCGGATGGGAAACCCGACTAGAACTGCCATGGAGAGACTTTACTCCATTGCCATTGGAGGGTTTATAGCAGTCTTTGTGAATGTGCTTGTTTTTCCTATATGGGCTGGTGACCAATTATATAAGGAGTTAGTTAACAACTTTAACGCAGTAGCAGACTCCCTTGAAGGTAAGCTAATCTGAATGTTTGTGTCTTTTAACTTCTTAGAATTATATACTATTGAAAAGAATATTGAAAGATTCATTGCGGAAATTTCAGAATGTGTAAAGAAATATTTAGAAGATGATGGATTAAATCATCCACAATTCTCCAAGGCTGTGATGGATGAATTTCCAGATGAGCCTGCCTATATGAAATGCCGAGCCACATTGAACTCTTCAGAAAGAATGGAGAACCTGGTACTTATTCTTAGTTCCTTGCATAAATTCCACTTGTTCATCCTTTTCTCAACACCTTTTCTGTGTATATCACCATAAGAGTACCAGATGAGAGTCTCTGATTGTTATTTGCCTCAATATGCAAGGCTAAAGCTGCAAAATGGGAGCCACCACATGGTAGGTTCAGGCACTTCTTCTATCCATGGTCAGGGTGCATTAAAGTTGGGGCAGTCCTACGCTACTGTGCTTATGAAGTTATGGCCCTCCATGGAGTTCTGCACTCTGAGATTCAGGTACTTTCTTATACCATTTTTGGTGAGAAATTTTTACACTAGATACAAATGATAGATTCATATTCAAGTTAACAGAATTGGAGCTTTTGTCTCAATCAATATAGAAAAATACCAGCAACCAAGAAATATATCAGTAAATTTCTAGTTCTAGTTTGAAAAAAGGAATACCACAAAAGGGAAGGGAGAGATGAGGTTAAGAACGAAAATCTAAGATGCCATGTGTTTGTTCTTCATTTCGTGTGCATTCCGCGTGAATTTCATACCAATCTTGACTCAATTCGCGTATATAAAGTGCTAAAAAGATGTTTATTCTCCATATTGTATCAGTGGCAAAGTTAAAAAAACAACACATGTAAAAGAGATTCCTAAAATTTGCTTCATGTGAAACTGCCTAGGAGAGAGGCGTAAGCTTTATTCTTTGGAGCTTAATTCAATGATTCTCCCTTGTTATAAAAAAAAAAAAAAAACCATAAGTGAACTAAAGTTTTAGTTTGACAAGTTCGGTTTAAAATAAAAAATGGGATAACCATTTAACCAAATCAAAAAATTAAATTCGGTTAGGTAATTCAGGTTTTCACTTTTGAAGGGAAGTACACCAAGTCCTAGTGTACGCAAAAAATAAATTCCATAAAATTTGTGACTTGTGAATAAGATTGACATTCACATCTAGGAAAACGAAAAATGATGAGGGATTAGTATTTGTTTGTTTTATTTTTAAAAAATTAAGATGAAAAGTGATAAAAATTATTTTAATATATACTTTAAAAATATGATATTTTAGATTTTTTGAATAAA